CCCCCCCCCCCCCCGCCCCCCCCCCCCGCGCCCCCCCCCCCTCCCCCCCCCCCCGCCACAGCCGACCCACGTCGCACCGCCATTGAGCCGTCTCCCACGTATCGCCTCCAACATTTCACGCTCCCTTTTAACGTACTCACCGGTAAGCATTGTTTTCGGTATTGAATTTCGTTTAACAGATAAAGTGAAATGCCCCCGACTGCCATCCCACATTGCAGCGCCAATAACGTCACACATATTGTAGCGAGAACGACACGACAGGGTGGTAGACGTTTATTGCACCCCGAAAATGGGCACATAAGGGTCTCACGCGCGCCATCGAATATCGACTAGATTTCCGTCCCACAACGCAACACAGCTACGGATGTTAGAGACGAGCCAGTCCTTTCGCCTCTAGAGCTCTGACTTGGAAGACCCGCCTTCCTGTTTTCGCCTCGATCTCCACTTCTCTGTGCCCGATTTGGATCGGTCAGGAGTCGTTCGAGAGCTCTCGACTTGCTTGTTCTGGGCTGTGTCAATCGGTTCGGCCTCGGTCCTGTGGGCTGCGCTAGCGGCATATCTGTCTGATTTATTGCGTTGTCCATGCATTCCCGCTCCGTAGTTCTGGGCCCAGGCTCGTCGCTAGCCGTCCTTCTCGATTCGCTCTCAGCTAGCTCCGAAGAGCTCTCCGCAGGCATTCTTGGAAGCGGCCCCTCTACATCCGCCTTTCCTAGAGGACCTTTCTTCCTCTCGTACCATGGTCGCAGGAGAGCAGCATTAACCCAACGTTTCATTCCTCCGCAGTCGATTAAGAAGTTGCCCGCTTTCTGGTCGATAATGGTGTAGGGGCCTTTCCAGCGTTCTCTGAACTTGCTTGCGCCCGGCCCGTCATGATCCGGCCGATCGTTGTTTCGTAACTTGCCTCGTTCTCCAATCCTGAATGGTCTCCACTTGTGAGCCTCATGCCTGGCGTCGTGATTTTGCTTATTCCGCGCTTGTTGAGCTTTGGTTTCACTTCTAGCTTTCCCTCGCAGTCCCACTTGAGGCCCAGCTGGATGTTTCCGCTCACCCTGGTTAAGTAGGCAAGTATCGAGCGCAATCCGTGGTTCTCTGCCGAACAGTAAATCGAATGGCGCGACCTTGGTGGTTGATTGCATGCTGGTCCGATACGCTATCAGAACCTGAGGCAAAGCATCTTCCCATGCCAACTTCGTGCAGTTTATCCACGTCTTCAATGTCCGGTTGAACCGCTCGGTTATGCCGTTGGTTTGTGGGTGGTACGGTGAAGTTCGCCGTCTCTGGATGCCCCACTTGTCCAACACTGCCTTAAACGCTTTTGACTCGAAGCAGGGCCCTTGGTCCGTGATGATACACTGTGGGATCCCATACCTTGCAGGCACATTGAATTCGAATACTTGCGACACTGTCTCGCTTGTTTGGTCCCTGATTGCTATGGCTTCCACCCATCTAGTGAAGTGGACAATCATTACTAGAATGTATCTGTTTCCTGTTCGACTCACTGGTAAGGGCCCAAAAACGTCCAGTCCCCAACACTGAAGTGGTTCACTAACCTCCATCGATCGCATCGGCGGTCTCGGGGACTCCAGTTTGGGCAGTTTGGGCACCCCCGAATGTATGCCGCGACGTCCTTCCTCATGGTTGGCCAAAACACTCGCCTCCGCAGCAATTCAAAGACCTGCTCGAATCCCATATGGGCGCCATCATGAGTTATACGCATCACACATTCTGGCTGGTTTGGTGGAACAAAAGGCACTTTCCGTCCGTCTATCGCCACCACCACGTTATCGTTTTCGACCTTCAACCTGTCCCAGATCTTGAGGAGTTCCTCCACCTCTTCCGAGGTGGCCTCCGGTTTGGTGCCAGCCTGTAAGTGAGAGCACAGCACATTCACGAATTCATCTGTCCTTTGATCTCTCAGCAGGTTCCTCTCCCCCATCGCGATCGCCGTTGGTGAAGTTGAATTCCTGCAATCGGTAGGCCCATCGCGCAAGCCGTCCCCGCGGGTCTTTCGACGTCATCAACCACGAGAGCGGTTTGTGGTCAGTGACGACCCGGAATTCATTCGCCAGTAAGTAATTTTTCCACTTCTCTAACGCCCACACGATGGCCAAGCATTCTTTCACCGTGGCTGAATACTTCTGTTCCCCCCATCAGCACTCTGCTCGCGTACTTCACCACCCCAGCCGGTTGAGACAAAACCGCACCGATCGCCACGTTGCTTGCGTCGACCGCCACAGTGAACCCCTCACCAGGATTGGGTAGCCGTAGACATGTCGGGGCTTCTGCTATGCATGCCTTTAGATGGTCAAAGGCTTGATCCGCTTCAGCTGTCCACGCAAACGGCACGTCCTTGCGAAGCAGCTTTAACAACGGGCTGACCTTCTCTGCGAACTGGGGCGCAAACTTTGAATCATATGCCACAACTCCCAAGAACGAACGGAGCTGACACTTGGATTTTGGTTTTGCGAAGCACTTGATAGTCTCGCGTTTCTCCGGAAGTGGATGGACATGACCATTGCCCACGATGTGACCCAAGCATACAATTGACTTTTGGGAAATCTGCGACTTTTACGACTGAGTTTCATACAAGCTTCGTCCAGTCTCTGCAGTACTGCTCCAAGTCTGGTCACGGGACCTGTCAAGCATATGCTTTTTTACCCGTTATAAATCATCGTTCATTGTTCACATGTTCCTGTTCCGTCTCAGAGAAGACGATGATGTCATCACCATAAACAACCACGCCTTGCAGGTTCGCCAGGACCATCAGCAACAAACGCCTGAATGTAGCTGGGGCGTTGCACAATCCAAACGGCATTCTCAAAAACTCATACTGCTGGCCATTGACACTGAAAGCTGTCTTGTGGCGATCTTCTTCTGCGATCGGCAGTTGCCAATATCTCGAGCGGGGATCAATCAAAGATATCTGCTTGGCACTGTGAAGGCTTGAAAATATTTCTTCTGTCTGAGGTATCGGGAATGCATCCTTCACAGTCACCCTGTTTAGTTCTCTGAAATCGATGCAAAATCGATAGGTTCCGTCGGCCTTCTTCGTCAATAGCACGGGTGATGAATACGGGCTGTGCGTTCGCCTGATGATTCCTTTCGATTCCATCTCGGTCACCTGCTTCTGTATCTCCACCAGGGTGTTCTGTGGAATTCGTCTGATGATTGGCCTGCATTGTCCTACTGGGATCAACGGTATTGGGTGTGCAACCCAATTGCAAACTCCGTAATCATCTTCCGCGTCTGTGAATAAGTAGGCATACCTGCTCAGTACGTTGCGTATTGCACGGTTCTGACAATCAGGCACGGCTTTGAGGGCACCAACCCGGTCGGTTCTCCCCTTGTCTATCTCGATCGTATCGTTAGCCACGATCACCACATCGTTTTTCAGGTCAATTGTGACACGGAGCCGTTTCATGATGTCGGTTCCGATGATAGTTTCGGTCGTCTCCTCCACGATGAACATGTCATGGCGGATGATCGTTTCTCTTATCCTGATTCGTAACCGCTGCGTGCCCGTCACTTTCAAAGAATGCCCGCCGACCGTCTGCATCGTGATTGAAGATGGGTTTACTGGAACCTCGTTGAACCTCTTCGTAATTGACACCTGCCGCTCCTGTGTCTACTATGGCTCGGACAGACACACCTTCTATAGTTACCTGGAGGACTGGTACTCGCCACCGACTCGGCATGGATAGAGAGAAACAATGGGGCACATTGACGTTGGTGCAGAATCTCGCCACATGACCATTCTGGTTGCATCGGAAAGAGCAGCGACCGTTCCGGATTACCCGTACATTGCGTTGTGCAGTGGTGCTTGAAGACTCTACCGACTGCAGCTGCTCCACCATTTCGGATGGGCGATTTACTTTCTGTTCCAACTCAGCGTGCTGGATGCTTCTCACTATCACTAGTTCCGACAAATTCTTGGCGACCGTCACCAGATCCAACGCTTTGCTGTCTCCCACCATCGACGCCAAATTCACCTGATCACTGAGTGGATCGGGCAGACTTCAGATAAACAGCTGTTTCAGTAGGCGCTCTCTGGCGTTGCCCTCTAACTCGGGGAGCCCAATCGTTAGATGCCTGTCCAGCTGCTGGAAAAACACCATCAAATCCTCCTGTTCGTCCCATCTAGCTGCGCGAAATCGTTGCATTGCTCGTTCTCTCTCCAGATCCATCCCAGATTCTGCACACAAGGCAGCCCTCATCTCAGCGAACGAACAGCCGGGTTTGGCCTTCCGAGTGAGCAGATACACCGCCTTGGCTCGTCCACTCAGCCGTGTGCCCAAAGCAATTAGCAAATTTGCATCCCCTCACACCTGTGCAAGCCGCAATGCCGTCGAACTCATCGAGCCACGCCTCCACGTCACGGGCTGCAAATTGCTCCAACCGGGTCAACTCCATCGCGAATGGTCACGGCCCCAGTGACATCCGCACTGTGATGCGTGATGCCACGGTATCCAGAGGTGACATTGCTCTGCTATGATGACTTATCTTTCACAGCCACGGTTGCGTGCCCGTGCTATTGCCTACCAACAACATCATAACACAGCGCGTATCCCCACGTGCCGCCCCTGCCCCGGGATCATCATGACCGCTGGTAAGTAGGTGTGCGCATATGGCTTTCCCTGCATATATAAGGTACGTACACTTACGTGAAAGCGCCGCACTTGTTGTAGCCACTGACACATTTCCACCATGATATTGAAAAGTGAGTCAACACTTCCATAACACCATTCGATAGCGCAGGCTACCTCGTAGATGAAGTGCAACGGTTTGCCGCCTCCTAGGGAAACTAAGTCGCTGTGAAACGTCCATTTGGTATTGCTCGTTGTTTGTTTACCTCCGTGTCTTCGTGAACGACCCAACGGCCATTTTTAGGGCCACCCCTGCTCTATGTCCTCGAGTCTGCCCAAAATGGATAGCAGCTCGGGGAACATACGTGCAGTGGTTGGGTCCGTAATCGTCGGAACTTCAAATCTTTTTCCCGATGCACGCAGCTATATTTCATTGTGTTCCGTACAACCTTTTGGTGTAGTGCGCAGGGATATGTTGTACGAAAGCAATAGAAGGTGGAGTAGAGTG